GTTGAGGCTGTGATTACTCATCAGTTGAGTGAAGATTCTCAACGAAGCCAAGGAGCTCTCGTGAGGCAAGTCCTTACAGACAAAAGGCAGGAATTTTGCAATGGTACAATGGCACAGTGGTATCAAGAAAGGGGCATAGTGCATACAAGAGTCGGCCCCAAAGCGTCCCAACTAAATTTAGTTGAGCGCACACACCAGACATTGATTGGAATGGTGAAGACCATGATGCACCAGTCTGGATTACCTAAATCATTTTGGGTGCATGCATTAGTAACAGCTGCCTACATCAAAAACAGAGTGTATTGCAAAGGGGCAGGACGCACTCCGTATGAGTTGATGTTTGGTTCGAGACCGGACATTCATCACATCCGGGCGTTTGGGTCACTCACTTATTGTCACACGCCAAGAGAGAAACGGAAAAAGCTGAGCATGAATTGCCGAGTGGGATTCCTCATTGGATTTCACGAGAACATTGTTGGTTGTCATGTGTACTTCCCAACAGAGCACATGAAAGGATATGTGTCAGATGTCAAGATAAATGAGGCTATAAAGTATAAGGATCGTTTCGACAGTGGATATACATCAAAAGTCAGACGGTGGCTCCAGACACTAAGTGAATACGCTGAGGAGGGCGCATTTAATGATTCTAGTTCTGAAGAATCCGAGGTGTCACATCTGACTGACATTGTAGCAAGCATGGATTGTAATAGCAGTACCATTCAGATGGAGACTGCTGAATCCGATCCCGACACTCTAAATGAGGCAGACCAAACCTTGTGGAATGACATGCTACGCAATAGTATTTTACCAGAAGTGGTCCAGACACAAGGACAAACCAGCGAACAATATTTCAGTGCGAGCAGTAGCGACAAAGAAGAAGGTCAGGAGAGCGAATCTGGTGAAACGCAGGGGGGAGAGCTAGAACCCAGTGACAGCGTTTCTCACGAACTATCTGAACATGCTACGCCGGGGGAAGAGTTAGCACCCAGTGAAAGCATTTCTCAAGAATTTTCAGAAGATGCATCGGATCCTCCAGCTGATTCTACAGCACATTATTGCGCCGAATATTGTGACTCTGTTCCAGATAGCAACAAAGCAGTTGCAAATGACTCGGATATTTATGACGACGATAAAGACGATGCGGAATCCGGACTTGAGTCGCACAATGACGAGGAAACAGCTGACGATGATAACGCTGATGATGATACAGACGCAGATGATGATACAGCTTCAGGTGAAGAGAGACTGCTCACTGATACTGGACATATAACAGACCCTGAAGTGACTCGAAATGAATCTGTCTATGCTGCAAGTGACTACAATTATGATTGTTTATTCGATCCTTTATTCGATCCAAGTGACATGTTGGAGGCTGTGAACGGCACCACGACGTTGACCATTGCCAATGATCAGCTGATCGGCCACAGAAGACCCAGAGACGTCGAAGTCAGGCGAAGTAGAGAGCACAAAAGAATAAAAGAGGATCACAAAAGAGCAAAGATCACTCCGCGTCTACCCATATTGAGAAAGCATGATCAGCAATGTATACTGAACCAGCGCGAAGATTTCACGGTTAACGCTGCATTCAGAACACCAAAGAACGTTGAAAGCGAAGCGTACGGTACTCGCGCAAGTGATATTCGGACACCAAAGAACTTTCGTCAGGCGATGTGCTCGAAATATGCAACCCAGTGGAAAGCAGCTATGGACGAAGAATTGGAAGCAATGAAGTCCAAGGGAGTGATCACATTAATTTCGAAACGAGAGATGCCTGAAGACACTAAAGCGATCAAGACAATGTGGATCTATAGTGTTAAAACGGACCACTTAGGCAACGTTATCCGTCTTCGAGCAAGAATTGTGGCTCGAGGTGACAAACAACGCCCAGGAATTGACTATGGAGAAACCTTCAGTCCTGTAGCACGTATGGCGACTTTCAGGATGTTCGTGGCCATTTGCCTATTGATGGACTTGACCATTTACCAGGGTGATATCAACACGGCCTACCTGAATGCACCCTTGGGGATCAAGCAGTACTTGGACTCTCTAGATGGATATCCTTCTGAAACTGACGACATGGTATATGTTGTTCACAAGGCACTGTATGGTCTTAAACAGTCTGGTCGAGAGTGGAACACCGAAGTAAATGCGTGGTTTTTACGGTATGGGTTTAAGCGTTGCACTACAGAACCGTGTCTGTATTACTACGATTCAGGATCTAAGTTCGTATTGGCACTACTCTACTTGGATGACATTCTGTGTGCAACCAAGAATGAATTGTTCAAGACGAAAATGTTTCGGAGTCTGGACGAGGTCTATGGAATGAAGGATCAAGGTCTACTTAGCACTTATTTGGGTGTTCAAGTAGAGAGAAGCGATGATGCGATTAAAATTCATCAGACGAAATACTGCGAAGACGTTATCAATCGTTTTAACTTTGGAGATGCGCACGCTAGCAGAATTCCGATGGAAACAAACATACGACTTGCTGTAAACGATACGGATACCGCGAGGGCCAAACGCGTACCTGACAATGGCAAAGAATTTCCATATCGTGAGCTAATTGGCTCATTGATGTATCTGGCAACATGTACGAGGCCAGATCTTGCGTATGTGGTCGGGCATCTTAGTAGATACGTGCAAAGCCCAACACAACAACACATTGGCGCAGCCAAGAGAGTGTTAAGGTATCTGGTGGGTTCCAAGACTCATGGAATTGTGTTCCACGCAAACAATGATGGAAAATTAAGAAGTGATTTAACCGTTGAGGGATTTTGCGATGCGGACTGGGGAAACGACCCAGACACGAGGAAAAGCATTACTGGATATGTACATTGCTTGGCAGGAGGTGCGATATCGTGGGCGTCACGACGGCAGAGTATCGTGGCTCAATCTACGGCTGAGGCCGAATATGTAGCAGCTTGCGAGGCCTGTATGGAAGGGAGGGGTCTCATTCAGGTTCTAATCGAGATATTCCCAAGGTTGGTGTCGAAGTTTCGTCTCGGGATTGACAATAAAGCTGCCTTTGTGATGGCTACAAACCCGCCCTACAGTCGCAGAACACGACACATTGAACTACGCTGGCACTACGTTCGAGATCAGTATGTGAAGAAAGCAGTAGAACTGTGGAAGGTAAAGACAGACGTGAATCCCTCAGACTTGATGACCAAGCCCCTGGCGAGTGCGCGTTTTGAGGCACTTATCACCATGATAGGGATGACCAAGAACGTTTTGCCGCAGTAACTACTGACGGAGGAGGGCGTGTTGGAAACTGGATGCAAGTCAACGGTGGACAATGAAGTAAAGGGTGGCGGTTGACAATACCTTTTCCAGGGAAGGTTTTATCTGGAAGGTATTTCGTAGAAGATTCCTCCTGACATGAAGACATGCATTGAGTAGACTCAGTCCAAAAGTTTCCCTCCAGTAAACAAGTTGTTTGTGAGTGCGTAGCCATTGTTTCCCTTTATCAATACTCTATTAAGCTCGACGTCTACTGAGGCTTGTGCAAGTACTAACAACGTGCCGCGCTCAGTTCAACAAATGAAGAAACGGTCAGAGTAACAACCAGTAGCACGTAGCTGTGATCATTGTGACTGTTTTGGCTTGACTCGAATGTCTGTGCGGATGCGTACGTATCCCCTAACATCGATGCGGATTGATATCAACGTGCTGCCTCTGCCAAATCCCTTTCAACCTTGCTTTTTCAACATGCATCCGATCTGTAGATAGTCTTACATATGCATAGGTCGTGTCTTTTTCATTTTCAGACAACGTGTTGAAGTGTGTAATGGCTTCATCCGACAGTTAGACGGCTGATGTTAATTCGTGTGATGCAAACTTGATACAATGTGTCTGAGGGAAGTACCGTGTGAAGGGTGAGCCTGCGAGGTAGCCTATTGAAAATACCGTACCCTATTGAGTATACTACATTAACTGATAGGACAATGCAAAGTACGACATCTACTAATGACTAACTGACGTGTCGTCCAGCAAGCAGTTCAGTCTACCAAGAGTACTATAGTAAGTTGTAAGAAAGGGGACCAAGCTCTAGAGCTCGTTCTTTGATATAAGTAATCAAGTCCGGTATATTCGTGTACCCCTTTTGTTTTATGGGGTTCGTGGCTAAGGAATGAGCTGTGTTTTGTGTGTTAAAATATGTAAGTTCCGATGATTTTTCTGTGTTGGGGCTTTTTGTTGATGTATTTGTTGGTCTGATGAATGTAAAGGTGAAAAGAAGACGGAGAATGATAAAGCCCGGTACGCCTTAAGTAACAAAGCACCTACGACGACATACAATTGGTTGATGAAAAAGAGCAATTTAGATGAGGGAGCTTACTCTGCCACCGATTCCCCATACATTCTTACTTTTCTGTGTAACAAGTACTATCAATACATACTTCACATTTACTTGCTGACGGTGCGAGATTTTTGCTGCCTCTAAGTGTCGATCCTATACTTGCTGATTCTCTGTTCATCAGTGCTCGATTTTGAATTAATCATGTGCGGACATTGGTGCTTTTGTGACTTCCGCTTTCCATGCCGTCGCAATAACTGACCTACCCAAAGAGTGAGACCTATAACTGAATTTCCGAAGGGCGGAGCTATGAGTGACTGTGCCCAACATGAATACAGAGCTTCCAATCCTCTCTCTGCCCATGTGTATGTCTGTAAATAACGCATAGCGTACCTTGGACGTTATAAAAAGTGCGATGTAGCCGTGTTGCCTTCTGGTCACGCCGCTGCAATGCGTGCTTTTGTGGGACGCCTGAGAAGCAACTTGGCAGTCATCACACAAGCAGCAGGCAACTGGTAGATCTTCATGCTGAAGATAACTGAAATCAATCCGTCGACAGCGTAGTGTCGGATGATGCCCGATCCATCCAACGCCTGCCTTAGGTCTAGTTTACGAGCAGTGCCCTGAATACGCAATAATCTTTACGCATGCTCAAACGAGCAATAGGAGACTTTCAAGCAGCTCAAATACCAACACGGTGACTTAGTTAGTCCTGCATGAACTGCTTGACCCGAGCGAGCTTTCGATCGCGTGCATCTGCGCGCCGTCGTAGGCGCCGTGTGGGCGTCAAATCGTTCGTCGGCTCATTGAGAAACAACATGATAGCGTTTCGCTCCATCTTCACTACAACTATCAGGCGCGGCTCGTGGGCTCGATCAACAATCTCTTACCACGGTCTGCCAGAGCACTAGCACAGAATGCAACACATCCAGTGTCTCGTTCACCGATTTCGTGAGTCGTTCTCCGCCAAGATGGGGGACAATCACAATCAGACATGGACACTAGCGCCTCACAATGCGAGCAGTCTCCAAGTGAATAGATGTCCGTGTGCTGACAGATGGTGTGAGACAAAGCACGAGATTGGCCGAGGTATTTAGCTCCTGTTCATAGCAATGACCTCACGCAGCGGCTACCATGATTTCATGCAGCGACAACGTGTTGCGACCTGCGGTCACCTCCCTTGTCAATAGACGCAGAATTAGGGTTTCCTCGATGGACGACAGCATCTCAAAGTTATCGCGATCCTTTGCAACAGGTTCAGCAGCGCCAATGACAAGTCTCGACCGTAACGCATGTGCAGCAGCGCTCCGGACTCTCGAGAACTCCAACTGCATGTCTTCTCTGAGTCCATACGATAAGAGAGAGAGAGAGCTCATGCAGATCCAGTTGTTAAAGGTCAAGAGGCCCACGATGGTCGTACCCGACACCATTGCTGATGAGCGCATAGTGTAACGGGGAACTCCGAAGCTTGTACTGGTGACAGTACAAGCTACTTATTCGGATGACAGAATAAGGCGGTGCCTAGGAACTTCACGTACACTCGTACGTGCAGAGGAAGACGGTAAGAAGAAGCGAGTACTCGGTTAGAGTAAAAAGTAGAACTGTATTTATAATAGTTAATGTCTGCAATAAACCACTATTCATCTTCATCTAACTATGTCTACATACAAATGTGCATATCAACTATCTGCTCACCACTTATTGCGTGCGTCTGTCGTGGCGCGTCTTTGTTGGTTGATATAATGGCCTATATCAACCAATTAGGAACTACTCGTTAGTGTTGCAGAATATTTGTCCTTATGACAATATTCTGAGAATGTAACTCTTATAGTTATATTCTATTAACAATTTCTAATAAAGTGTTATGTAGCAGTTCACCCCGTTACATCACCCCCCCTAACCATCAGTCACTTTAGTGACTGATTGACTAAATGGATACTCGTCCCAAATCATTTGGGACAGGGTTTGCACTTGTTGGTCCGAGTCCACAGACCATCAGTTTCATCGCATGGTTAACAAGTCCATGCGGTGCGCGAACAAGTCCGCCGAGAGTGCGTCTGCACGTCTCTGTGCAGTCGCCGGATAAGAAACCGCTGCAACCGATGTTTCATCGGTTGCTAAAGCGTCTCAGTCTGTATCACCTGGTGATGCTGACGCTCGTCATGAAGACACTCATGTCTTCACAGAGTATAAGCTCGGTGTCCCAGACTCTCCTGATACGGAAGAGGGGTCCGTATCGAAGGCGGTTGAAACCAAGCCGCCTGCCGAGCGTGGCATGGATGATGCTACGCATCGTGGCATCTTTGGATCATCTGATGAATCAGATGAACCATCGCCGAAGCAAAGGCGCTCGAGGTCACAAGACTCGGGCGCTAACAGTGGTGTCGGCTCTCCTATTGACACCACTTCGCAACGAGGTGCCAGTCCTTCTGTCGGCAAGTCGCAAGAAGAGCGGGACCACAACGTGTTGCGTATCGCTCCCGAAACGAAAGCATGGCTGCCTCCAAAGTCAGTCATGGATCGCTTGTCGGCGACGACGAGTGATCGTTATCGAAAACAATTGTTCGATTCGTCAAGGATCCATCATCTAAACCCCAGTGCGAAAAACTATCGCGCTGAGAATGAATTCTTCATCGATGCTTTCTACAAACATCGATGGTACAGTGGGAATCACAAACATGAAGGTCCCTCACTGCTCCAATCGTGGAACGCTTACATCCATAGCCTTGAGGATGTAGGTCGTGATGTTAGGAACGACAAACTTATCAAAGCTCGAGATAAGTTTGAGAAGCGAACCCTGACAGGTGCACGCTACAAGCTGCATCGTCTGTCAAGGGAGAAAGGATTACCCTGCCTCTCCTGGAGAGACCCGTGCCCTTGTTGTGTGAACAACTCTGCGCGCGCACCTAAGGAGGCCTAACTCCCTAATAGCCCGTGGTGGCGCGTACGTATCTCCAGTGAGATGTACGAAGGGATCGACAACCTGAAATCCCTTTACGACCGTGCCGGGAAGACTTTCTCCGGCGGTCCTTCTGCGGCACAGGATGTGCAGCGTCGTACTGCTCAACCAGACCCAGTACGTCAACCATCAGTTGGGAGTGGGGCTCCCAAGTATCCCAGGACGGGGGATACCCGCGCCACCGGACGAGATAACTCGTCCGACGTCCGTTCACGTCGCGGTGGTTCAACAGCTGCTCAACCAGATAGCGCTGGCCACCGCAAGAGTCCTCTAATGGAGGTGGAGGAGGAGGGGAATCGCTCTCCACACAATCGTGGGGAAGCGTGTGTTCCCGAGAGCCTCTTTGATCGCTTAACTCTTGCGTTGCGCGGCGACCTTAAACATGATCGGGACAGGCGTATTCAACTGGCATACACTGTCTTGAAGCATCGAGCTGAGTTTTCTTTTGCCCAGCTTGAGAACGAGAGAGCTCTGACGTCTCTGCGTGACGAGCTAAGGGTAGCTCGTGGGATTGTTGACCGGTCTCGGGATAAGATAGCTGTACTTCAGACCCTTGTTGATGCCCACCATCGGGAGCACAAGGCTCTCTGCGAGATGCTTGAGCGCAAGGGCGTTCTTCATCGGAAGAAGCAGCGTACTGATGGTACGGCTTAAGCCGACCAACGTAAAACGTGGGATGCGTTCGCATCTTACGTGGCAGTTCGATCGTGTATGCGTTGCCTAGGCGATGCAATACACGAAATGGGCCGATGTACTTGGGTAGCAGTTTACTGCTACCCAAGTTAGTCACTACATGCTTCGGTAGATTAACCGTAGACAGTAGGACTAAGTCACCTTTATTAAATAAAAGAGTGTTTGCCCTTCCATTCTTGTCAGTGTTTTATTTTTGCTTATCCACCGCTTCGGCGATGGAGTCTTGCACAAAACGGACTACCGTTTCACGAGCCAGTATGAACTCATCTGGTGAATCGTTAGCTTCAGTGCGCTGTGAGTGCACTGCAGCAACATCAACCTTTTCTTCAGTGAGGGCTTCCGCAATCTCACTGGCATCATCTTCTTCGATATCGATGTTATCGGCATCAAAAGCAATGACTTCTTCATCAGAGCGTGATGAGCGTGAACCAAATCGGTTTTTGATAGCGCGAGTTCCTCCCCCCTTAAGCCAGATTTACACTCTAGTAAGGTGGGTACACGCGGATGGCGTAAGCCATTCACGTAAAACGGTATATGTGTCGTGGACGCATGCACCGAGTTGTTAATGGCAAACTCTACCATTGGCAAGAACTCACTCCAACTGTTAAAGGAGTGTACGTATCCTCGAAGTATCTCTTCGAGGACACGATTGGCACGTTCCGTCTGACCATCTGACTCTGGATGATCAGATGTAGACATCTTCAAGCGCGTTCCGAGTGATTTAAACACGGAACGCCAGAAATCAGCAGTGAATCGTGGATCTCTGTCTGATACGAGTTCACGGGGCAGCCCATGAAGTCGGAAGATGGTGTAGATAAAGACACAAGCACAGCCACTTGCAGTTATTGACTCTGGTACAGCCACAAGGTGTACCATTTTGCTGAATCTGTCAACAAATACGAGAATACCCGTATTCCCGCGTGCGTCTTTGGGTAACCTGAAGACGAAATCCATTGAGGTGGATTCCCAGCACTCTGCCGGAACCGGTAGAGGCTGTAAAGGTGCACGCAGTGAAGGACTTGACTTCACTCGTTGACAGACTTCGCATGCGCGAACATACTTTCGCACAAACTGATACTGGCGGGGCCAGTAAAAGTCTCGACTCACCGTGAGATATGTTTCTCCCGGCCACGATGTCCTCCAATAGGAGCATCGTGATACTCGAACATGATCCGCAAACGCAGATCAGTATCGTCTGGAATGACAACACGTGGTGTGTCACCAGAAACGGCTGTATAGTACAGTAAACCGTTACGAGTAGTGTGTCGATCTGATGCAGATCGATACGCAGACGACAATCGTTTCAACGATTCTCGAGATGGTTGTGAGAGATGTGTCAACAACTTCACAATCTCACCATCTTGGGCATACGCCCGCCTCACATCATCATGTAACGTTGTAGATGGTATTGTGGACATTATAACCGCAGTAGTGGCTGTCCCACTGTTGGGTTTCACGACTGTTTCAAAGTCAGGCCGACGTGAGAGTGCATCAGCGACGACATTAAGTCGTCCTGGTTTGTACTCGACCGTAAAGTTGTATTCTGCAAAGAATGACAACCACCGCGCCATTCGTTGTGAAAGGTGCGGGCTGTTTACTGCCGTGCGTAATGACGCATGGTCAGTGTAAACAATGAAGAGTCTATCTCCTAATCGATAGAAGCTGAACTTCGCGAGTGCATACTTCATGGCAAGGAGTTCCTTGTCATGCACTGGATAGTTCCGCTCAGCTGGTTGCAGCTGACGCGACTGATAGCAGACGACGCGTTCAACGCCTTCTAGGTCGTACTGCATTAATGCACAGCCGATTGCAAAATCGCTGGCATCACAGACCACATGAAATGGCCTGTCCTGATCGGCTATTGCTAGGACTGGGGATTTTATCAAGCTCTGCCTGATACCATCAAAGGAGCGCTGACATTCAGCGTTCCATAACCACCTCTAGTTCATTTTCAACAAACGATAGAGGTGCACAGTCATCTCGGCGTGATTGCGTGAATACTTATGCAAATACGCCGATAGCCCAAGGAATTTTCGAAGACCTTTGACATCAACTGGCACAGGCCAGTCGGTGATCGCCTTGATCTTTTCGGGATCAGGACGTACACCGTTCTAACCAACGATGCACCCAAGAAGTGGTATTTCGCTTGCTGCAAATATACACTTCTTGAGGTTTGCATACAATTGATGCTTTCGCATGATTGTAAGAACCTGTCGGACGTGGTACCTGTGAACCTCAACGTCCGACTTTCCATCCATAGCCCAACTATGGATGAATATGTCATCGAAATAACTCGGCGCGAATTCTCGCACTGATTTCAACAGATGCGATACACATCTGTTGAGCGTGGCAGGGGCAATACTAAGCCCTTGTGGCATTACTAGCCATTCCCAGAGCATGCCGCTAGGCGTGCTCACTGCGGTATAGGTATTTCCCGTTCCCGCATAAGGATTTGATAGAAGCCATCCATCAAATACATGGACGAAAAGATGGTACTCTTTGACATACCATCAATGATTACGTCCTTCCTTGGTATCGGCGTCCGAGCCGGTACCGTTGCAGCATTCAATTTGTTAAATGCATGCACAATCCGCCAGCCTCCTGTTGCTTTTCGAACACAGAAGGTCGGAAAGCTATGTGGGGAAGTTGATTCCCTCACATGGCCCGCAGCTAAACGATCGGCAAAGAACTTGTCAATCGCAAGTACTTGTTCACGAGGCAGTGGCCACTGCTTCATGACACAGTACTTCGAGCCTTGTTTAAGCTCGACCTCGTGTC